AAACATTTTATTAAATTTAATATAATTTACCGGATTTCGAATGCGTCCCATCACATCTCCTAAAATCCATCTTATGTTACATGTGCAATGCGAACACTTTTGTCCTTGGAGCGAAATAAATTTCATGGCCGCAGCCGAGTCTACAGTAAACAATGGCAGTGTTGGTGGTTGTCCAAGATAGACAATCATATCTAATCTAGCGAATCTTAGCCACCATTTACAAGTCAAAGACACGTGTAAACATAGCCCACCACGTGTTTTCTAAATCAAAGACTTGGCATAGAAACTGTCTATTTGGGTGGACAGTGTAATAATATCTAATACATTTACTAAGCAAATAACGGCAGCGATTACACTATATAATATCAATAAGGGGAGTAGAGTCGTCGACATACTTACTAATCATACTGAGTTATCCTTCAGATGAAAGGAAAGGTTTTATACTAACATGGTTATTTTTTACGGCCACGAGTGCAATGTTAGAGTGGAAAGTTGTTTCTCTGATAGTGCAATTCCATCTATCAAGGGTTCTTTAACGTGCACGCCACCCTTTACACGAGTGGACCTCGGGTTTACGTCCCATCTGACCGACTAGGCAATAATTTATTGTCAGCCCACAGACGTACCCCTGAGAATCTAAACGAGAAGTTGGGACCCATCCGCTCGACAATCCCCCCCACCCCCGTCTCCCGGCCCGCTCGAGATCCGCTCTATTGGAATGAGAAGAAAAGGGCATGCACAGAGCAAATTGGAACATACGTATGTGGCTTAAAGGGTTGTTCTAGAAGGTTTACTTTTATGTGCTTTTAATATACTGTTTATTTATAATGTATTGGTATATCCATTCAATTATCCCAACAATTAGTCAACGTTGCCATACAAAACAGACATTCGCCATGTTCTAATATTTACAGACTTGGTCTAAATATGTCATATTTCAGAATATAACTTGAATGCACGTTGATCAATCCAATTTAAAATAAGTTTAAGAAATAGTTCATGTTACCTTTTTACTTTGCAAATATGCCATCAACGACTCCGTTTATTCAGATAATATAACGGGATATTTCACACAAAGAATAACATCGATAAGCACGAATTTAATGCAATTCATAACATCTAGCAGTATAGCACAATAATACAGTAAATTATATCCAACCAAATGTACATATGTAAAAATATTAATTAGATTAACTAGCACTAATACTGTGTAAGTAGACCAACATATTGGCATACCATAGGGTTGACCTTTCGCTCCTATATTATTTATGTTATATTATAATGACATTCCGACTCCGTTACGGTCAGTTCGCATCAATCACTACAGTTTATAATATTAGTGTCATTCGGCTCTTTGAGGTTAAGTCCATTGGTCAATCGTTATTATGACGGTTCGTTGATTTAGAAGAATTTATGAACATGAAACGGATTATGAAATGGATGTTATAAGATCAAATGAGAAATAAAACTGATTATTCTAATATGACCTTTACGTGGCACCATACGTTCTGAATATCGACGTGACTTAAATTATTTCTCGATTATGAGTGGAAAGGGATTTAACACGATACCTCTATATTGATCAGTTCATTGATTAAGTGTGCAGTGTGTGTGTGTGTGTGTGTGTGTAGGGGGGGGGGGGGGCATTTTGCCGTACGGCAGCTAAACGTTCTTTTATGTATATTGTACGTTTCAATGTGTGCACGACTGAACCTCGTCAGTTCCACATACGTTTTTGACTATGACCTGCATGGTTGGTGTGGAATATGTTCATATTAAAGGGGTTGCGTATAGGAAACGTGTTACTTTTGTTAAAAGATCGGTGATCTTATATAAGCATTCTGGTAACCTTTTTTTTAGTTAAGTTAACTACTCAAACAATTCTCAAGATTACTTATAACTACTAAGGACAAGGGTGGACACGAGCTACAATATGTACAGCAATTTGTTAGTCACGTTAAAGCCTCAAATAAACAATCAAGTGGTGTCTGGTGTTCCGAACGAGTACGCATATAGTGCGTATCGCAGGGCATCCATAACTATTTACAACGGCATCATCAAACTCCATCATGATTGAACTTGAAATTGTATACCTGGAAACCAAGCCAACAGTATACCCGTTATGAAAAATCATTATTTAATAATCCTGGTCATTGTAGATTAATTAGACGACATGCTGTATACGGGTCAGTCACCGTATGGTTCCGCCTGTCAACAATTCATTACTCGTCTAGAATGCTAATGAAAATAGTTAATTACGGATTTACCTGGGAATTAATCGATATTAACATATTTAAACTTCCCAATACCTGAGATTGGAATATTTTCCCTGAATGTAAAAAATGATGAAAATGGATTGATATAGTATAGGATACCAGGGAATGCTATTTAATAATAATAAAAAAATATAATAAAATAGAATTTGTCAATCACCGAACATTCCTAAAACAAAAGTACAATAAACATGGTAGCTGTCATATCCAAATTAGACATAGTGAGTATAACCTGCCTAGTGAATGATACTCGTCATTAGTTATTACATATTATTTAAGGGGGTGGGGGGTACCTTAGACGTGGTTATTATATTACCTTTCCACCCTTCAACTGAATGATGAATTGTAAAAGAAATGGCAACCATGATCCGTCTCGCATACGGAACCTTCTCTGATTAGAGCTACTCGGGGTGATTCTTTGGTCAGTAACCTCGCGGCAAATGTGTCCACCATAAACTACATGAAGTTAAATTGATCAAGTAAAATGTGTCTAGTTAAATGCAACAGGTTAACAGCGCCAAGTAAAAGAACCAAGTTAAATACAACAAGTGAGCTGTGAAGGAAATTTTACCAGGAAAGCAGCGCCACACCAACTTACTATAAAGGAGTAAACGATAAACAGTAAACAGCATCACAAAGGGGGGGGGGCGGATATTATGCTTTATTGAAAGTAGCTAAGTCTCTAACTCAGTATCATCGAAAACACGAATTATTTGTCAATTTAAATCCACATTGGTGTTGTTATCGCATCTTGAAAAGATGGGCTTCTGATATCCAATATTTAAGACAACATTTTACCATTGGTACACGATTCGTGTACCATAATGGGTTTCAGTGCCATTTGTAATAGGGAACTCGAAGAACGAGGCTAGACATATTCCACAAGTCATTTCAATCTTATTCATATTCTTATCTGGCGAGCACGCGCAATAAATACTATCGGTGTAGACTGGAATAACCAGGCGCTAGAGATAGCCATTCGATTGACACTTCTGGCGTATTTCGTAGAACATAACTGATTTGAAATTAGAGTAAAAACGGAAACGATTGAATGTAAATCAGTTTATATACATTCATATTACATTATTATATGTGTTGCGACCCATTTGTGTCAATTTCTAGGTCCCAAATATTAGCGATTTAGCTCCTTTAACTAATATTCTTGACTAAAAGAAAATCTTTACATTTACACGAAGTAACACATTTACAACATGTCTGTAACAATACAACATTATGGTTTATCACGCGTTTACATAAGTTTGTACTTAAAATTGTTTAATTAAAAAAAATAATAAACCAACATATTTTAACGCACCATATAATTTAAAAAGTTAAAGTGATTGGTACTGTGTTTATTACTTGTGACGTCAACAATGTGTTAAACATTATAGGTTTTGTACATGATAAGTCAAGAATGCAGGACTTGTTTTAACGATGTAGTCAAGCGCAAGAGCCATTAATATTTCAAATATGTATCTTGGGTTCAGTGCTTCCATTTGTACTGCAAATCTAATTAATCAATATCCTGCGTCATTATATAGAATATGTGCACGATGTGCCTGAAACCCAAGGCATCGGGGGAATAGGTGTATATGCTTTCTAGAAATGGCACCATCTGGAATTCGAGAACAGTAATCATTTCGAACAAAATCACAATAATTGTACAAATTATGATTTGTTGTGACTTAAATTCCATGAAACTAAATAAGGGTGGCGTGAAGAGAGAGATGGGTGTGTGGGGTAGTTGTAAGGGCACCGTCAGGAATTCGGGAACAGTAACCATCTCGAACGAGACCAAAATAATTGTATTAATTCTGATTTGTTGTGGCTTAGATTCCATGAAAATAAATTAAGGTGGTGTGAAGAGACAAGGGATGGTGGTGTAGTTGTAAGGACAATCGTCACGCCACTAGTACATACCCGGTTCTTTACCGACCTGGGCAGAGAAGACCATTTAAGATTATTAAAACCAAAGGGTAGTCAAATATCAGATGGTACGACAAACCGAGGATTTAAATGAAATGGGGTTTAACGTCCTACTGCTCTGCTCCGATTGGGCTAACGAGGACCCATACAGTGTGCTTTGAGCGTAATTTTACCAAAACAGCGGCGCTACGGCCTACTCTTTATCGAATTTCAACTGCCAAGGGATCTTTTTACGTGCACTCCTATGTGTACACGGGCACTCGGTTTTTTGTCCCATTCGAACGACTAGACCGCTGTTTTGTTAGACCCTCCGTCCTGCACCACTGACGGGGAAATCACGCTGGAAATTCCGATAAACTTTCTCGGCCAACACCTGGATCGAACCCGCGACTTCCAGGCTAGCGACCCAGCGTATAAATCAAGGCCCTGTGTATACATTGGTAGTGTATTTTCTGGTTATAAGGGGTAGCGATTGCAGTACTGTCAAGCAACGTGTTGCCTAGTAGTTCGGATGATACTCAAGTCTAAGGGCCACCCGTATACACATCGACACATTGGAGTGTACGTTTCTCCCTAGCATTGCACACGTGCAGAAAAACCCTATGTTAGTGTCAACATGACAGAAGTGTAGTTTTGAAACCTTCAAAATAAATTAATGAAATTTATTGACGTAGACGGGTGATGTATTCTTTCAAACCTGTCTTTATTGTACCGTAAAACTACCTTTAAACAGTTTAAACACAAGTAAATTAAGAAATTATATAGCCCATAGGACATAAAAAAAAATCAACATCATAATACCTGAACGAAAAACTCCAATAGCCAACAGTCAAGCTGAACTTTCACACTGTTTTAGTTTTTGATGGTATTTTCTCTTTCAAATTCCTTTAGGGATAGACACTAATTAGGTTTTCAGTCATATACTCCAGTAGACTCCATATTTATTTCAAAGCACGTCTCGCGAGGCAAGATCAGACCTCAAGCATTAAGAATAAGAAAAGACATCGGTAGTCCCTCTCTCATTTGTCTATAATGAGTTTAAAAAAAAATATTTTTTTCAATTCAGTAACATATGGAAATAGCAATATATGTTGGGCCAGTCTCTAAAATTCTGATTCAATTATAGAACAAAAATAACTCTGTCGGCGATAATGTACCCTTCAAATCGTTGAGAAACATATTCATGATGGTTGATCCTTCGGGTATCCAATTTCGAAAAGAAAAGTTTTAATATAATCCAAGTAATGATATCTTGCGTGATCCACGAAGTAAAATCCTTAATTTTTAGGATAGATACCGGTACTTAAAAACCGCAGCCGACGTTATCGAAGAAATTATTTAATATATCCGATTATGAATTACACTGATTCTCTATTTCTGCCAAACAACGAAATCTCCATTGAATAAATTTAAATCCAAAATGTGAGACACTCGGATGACTATAAAAAAATCTTAAATTATCCACGAACGCCAACCTCACACATCCCGAATCGGCAACTAATCTACTGTCGTCTGCTATGATTGAGATCTCGTCCTCAGGTGATGAGCACAGCGAAACGAGACCTGAACTGACCTTGCGCAGACGTGATCTGTTAACCACAGGGCAAATTACATGTTGGGCACCTTTATCTTCTTATTATCTATAGATTTTTTCTCGAAGACTGGGTATGAAATTACATAATACTGGGAATAATTACTCCATTATTTTTCAAGAGAGAGGAAGCGGTGTCTTAGCATACATCGATGTGATTAATACACAGTTAACGCAGATCACACAACATGCAACTTATAGATAGCTTATTTATTTCTCAGTGGTGAAAACGCCGAATTGCGACCCGACATTTGAACAAAGGAACTTTAAGGGATTTGTTGTAGATGAGAATAAGCATTGGATATATTATTGTTTTACAACCTTTGTAAATTCAATTGTAGTTATTTGGCCAACTCGGCTACTATCGATTTCCAAATCCTAACAAACCTGATAGTTATCGCGAAGGAATGAGAGAGAGAGAGAGAGAGAGAGAGAGAGAAGAGGGAGGGAGGGGAGGGGGGTAACGTCGGGACTAACAACAATGTTCAATTTTATATCAATAATTCGCTTACGCGTAGTGGTCTTTATCAGTTGGAGGAAATCGGAGGACCCGGGAAGACCCACGAGGTTGGACAGGCGACCCTACTCCTTGTCACGTACAAGTGAGGAATCGAAACCACTGCACTTGACTCAATGACAAACATACCTTATGATCCAACGCACGCACGCGTTAAGCAGTCCAACAACACCCCTCGAAGAAATAAGAGCCTTCGTTCGATGTCTACAATTTTAAAATTGATATGGCCAAATTTAAGAAGATTGTAATTTCTGTCAATTTTTTACTTTCATACTCTGTGAATGTTCTGCCACCATCAACACATTTTTAAACACAGAAAAGCTAGACTAAACAACAGAAAATTACTAGAAGGAATTATACATTTTTTTTAATAAAAAAAAATAGAGACTGGTAACAATGGGCCAAATCAGATAAAACGGTCTGCATGAATTGTAAGGAAACAAATATGGCGTGAAGCCCATAGTTAAAACCACGCCAAACACAAGTATTGGCAAGATTTAAGTTAAGCAAGGGAGGCGACATAGAAAATCTTCAAGATTTTGAATGAAACTGAATCGTAAATAGACCACACAGTGTCCCTCAAACTGTCGATGACAACAGTAAAGATCCACGTACGATATTAACCATCTTGTCGTCCACGATCGACGGGCGCTATAATTGTCAATATAGATCTCATTTGGTTCCGTTAATTATTTTGTTGGTCCATTGATTAACATCTAAAAAAATATTTATTGAAAGCATGGTTTGGGCCAATGACAACATTATAATAGTGCATTTGACCCTGATTAAAACGCCAATCACACGTCTATATAATCAAGGTGCTGATTGGCAGGTTGATTTCAAATCGACCTTCTTATTAATAAACGAAAATTATGTCAAATTTCTTTCCATTGCGATATGCGATGTAGTCGTATGTGGAACGGATGTAAACCGCCTAATCAAGTCTTTGCACTGCCACGACGATTTGTGCGGAAACAGAACAATGAAACCACAATTTCATTCTGCACACCCTAAAAGAAAGAAAAGGATCAAATTCGACACCCCGTGGCATTCCTTTATTTAGCAAATCATCTTTTGAAGATCCAGAAAAAGCCCCATTAGCAAGAGCAAGAGATTAACTACCATATTTCATAAAACTAAATACGTCTCTATAACATGACTTGGAGCTCTTTGATTTTGGGTCAAAAACAAAAATTGGATTTGATGTGCTGATTTGTTTTGGTGGTAAACATATAAAACCAGTGGTGAGCCCCAACCGATTGTGTGTTCGGCCGTGGACAGATAGAATAAGCCAAAATTGAAACTAAAATTAATCCGCTTTTGAAACACTATTTTTATCCTATAAGTACCAATCGATTTTATCGAAATAACACAAGAGATCAAGCCAGTCTCCTATTTCACCTAAATGAAAGAAGCTTAATTATGGTTCAGCCTGTTTTATTCTACGAATTTTGGTACTTTGTATATTTGTATATTAATAACTAGTTCGACTACCTTTGAGATTTACTCTTGCTATTCATTGACTTAAGTGTCATACAAAACCATTCCTAAGAATCCTCCAGGAATATTGCCAAGATTTTTTTTATTTTGTTATGTTTTTAATTGTTTATGTTAATTTGATAACGTGTTAGCCAAGTTTGCAATTGACTCTTCTGGTAAAAATTAAAAGGAAAAAGTGTTAATCATGTAAAAGGTGAACCATAATTTCCTTTTCAATACCAATTAATTTTCTGTAATTTGTAGCTGTGACTCTGTAGATTTAACTTCTCGTCAACACAATAAGTCGGTCATTTTGAGACTAACATAGTAGATGATATTTATACAATGTGAGAAGAGGAATACTTCTCGCTCGTTAACTCACTCAGCATAGATATGTAGTGGTCAGTGGTGCAGGACGGAGGGCCTGACAACGACAGCTGTCTGGTCGTTTGGATGGGACGAAAACCCGAGGTCCTGTGTACACATTGGCATGCACGTAAAAGATCCATTGGCAGTTGGAATTCGATATAAGAGTAGGCCATAGCACCGCTGTCCTGGCAAAATGCCCCTCATTGTACACTGGTGTATGCCCGTCTTCATTAGCCCAGTCAGAGTAGAACAGTAAGACGTTAATCCCCATTTCATTCCATTTTATATCAATCCACTCGCGACAGGATTCAATTTGGAACATTCTAATTGAGACTTTTATTTCTTAAATACACAACTATAGTGTAACCCTTGTCCATTGTAAAGAGGTATCATAGGTATTTTTTTTATTTTGTTGAAAAAGTAAATATTAAATTATGCGAAGAGTTCGGTTATTTTGTCTGAAACTTGTTCTGTGTTCCCGTTTCAGTACTATAACTATTCGTACAATTGACATAATTTTAATATTGAACACCTATGATTTTGAATTCAATTTCCTGGTTAGACCGACCTAACTTTAAGAGAATGGTATTATGGCAAACAGATGAATGAACATCAATCAACGATCATGAGTAGTGAGTAGTCTATTGGTTAAGCGTAACTATATATTATGATCTTCTTGGAGAGAAATAAACAAGCCGGTAGCACTGGGTCGAGATAACTTAATGGGATAATACACCTGTTGAGGTATGAAATGTATACAAGACGTGTAGTAAACTAAACGTAAAGAAGGGATTGAACAAGCTTACACAGGTGGGATACTGGGGTAACAATCGAGATCATTACATGGTTATTATAATAAAGCATCATTATGTCTTGTTTCCGGTATGGGTTCCCTTTGTCAGTAGTGCAGGACGGAGGGCCCGGCAAGGGACAAGGTATAATCGCTCGGATGGGACAAAAATCGAGGTCGCGTGTGCACACTGGTGTGCACGTAAACGAACCCTGATAGTTGGAATTCGGAATAACACTAGGCCGTTGTTAGCCACCACAAACCTCGCTAGCATATTGCAGGACATATTAACCCGGGTGAATAAAAACAATTAGGGCGTTAAACACCGTTTCATTTCATTTACACCTTTCCAACAGAGGGAGCCAGGTGGCTCAGTGGATAAGACGTTTGCTCGCTAACCTCGAGGTACCGTGTTCGATCCCTGCGTTGGCCGAGAAAGTTCATCGGGATATTCCTGCGTCGGTGTACGTTAAACATCCCTTAACCGTTGGAATTCGAAATAAAGAGTAGGGTGCAGCGTGCCTACCCCCACCCCTTCCAATCTTAGCACATTGCATGGCGTATTAGCTCCGATGGATCAAAAAAGTAGGACGTTAAACCCCGTTTCATTTAATTTTATTAACACCTTTCCGATAGCGTATCCGACACTCCACATGGAAAGTGCGCTTCTGTTAGACGTCAGCACTAATTGTTCATTACCAACACAGAACCGCACAAGAAAATAATTAACTTCTGAACTCTTCACAAAAGTATAGAGAATAGAAAAGACACTGAACCTGCTACGGGATATGCCCCCATGCATGACACCCTGACAACATAGCTGGGAGGCCAAATATTGTCTCTTTAACGTTCTTAAGAGCCCGGAGATACAAACCTCTTCAAGAACGTAACAAATCAGATTCAAATTGAAAAAACACAAAATACAATTTAAAAGTTCTCAAATACTAATGAAACTGTCGAGTAAGATACCTCCGTAACCAGTCAAGTACCTCTATAATTTGCACAAGCAATCTCCTAACATAAAATCAATTTCACGAACGTCAAATAAAATGAACACAAAAAATCTACAAACTAATAAGAAAAGTTAAGTACCTCTTCTTCAGATGCAACTCCTTAATCTCAAAATTCAAAATGGCCGAGGATGGTTTAATGGTTATTTGTATATGTAATTGAGGGTATATTGTAGGCGGAGCGGTGTTGTGTTATAAGTAAAATGTCAACGTTTGGTTAAAGAGGGTAATTTACTTAATATAATAATCGTGATATATGTATATGATCGCCTACATATTATATATATATATATATATATATATATATATATATATATATATCTATTATACAATTTGTTGATTTATATACCAATATCGGGAGCTGAATATCTAGTCAGGAGAGAACGATTCTTCGGGAAAACAGATGTGACAGGGAAAATGTCATACACATACACATTTTACATGTACATGTATTATGGTTCCCCACAAAACTATA